TACTATTGATAAATTTAGTTTGAAAGGATTCATTCTTTTAGGTATTTTTAGTGCTTCTTTAATATATTTGATTCCTTCTTCATTGATTTTTCTTGACAATATTGCCTGAAGTATTCTTATTTTAATTAGACCTTATTGTTTAATAAAAAATGGATTTATTGTAAAACTTTAAGTTCTATTTTTTATGTTATAAGAAATATTATTAGTAATAAAATTTTCTTTTATTGTTTCTTTTAATTTTTCTGTTTCAACTTTAGTTTGGTCTTCTGTTTCTTTATTCATTATTATTACTTTCTTAATAGATATTTCTTTTTATATTTTATAGAAGATAGTTGAATCTTCATTGTGATACTTTTTGTTATTACAGCCTTATTTTGTATAGAGCTTGATAAATAGTTTACTGATTTATTTGTTAATACAGTATATAGTATTATATATCTTTTTTTTTAGCATAAATATATTGAGATCTTCTCTTTTGCCTTGCCCTTTTTTCTAGAGAGTATGAATATATTGTTGTAATATATATTCCTTTGCTAGAATTTTGGGATTTATTTTTAAAAAATTGACAATAATGTTGTCTAATATTGAAAATAGATGAATTGTTTTTACAGAAATATAAAGTTGTATAGTTTTTATTGGTCTTAACTCATATTAAATCATCTTTGTTTTTTATAGCTCTTGCTAAAGGTCTTAATTGGAAGCTATTTTTCCAAAACCTTTAATAGCTCTTTTTCTCATTGTTCTAAAATTTAAATTATCTTTTGTTCTTTGATTGCTATAATGTTATATGATACAGATTAATTAACATGTTATTTTATTTAAAATAAAATGTGTTGTTATTTACTTGTTTGTTTATTCTACTATTTATATCTGAATATATTAATCATAACCAAGTTTGTCTTATTTTTCTTCATATGTTATTATTATTTATGAGCTATTGTTATATTGTTAATCAGATACATGAATTAATGTTTTTGTATTTGATTTTTATTTTCTTCAAGTTTTTTAATGAGAGATGTGTACATATTTATATAATATAATATAATATAATATATTTATATATTGTTAATAATATCTGATATTTCTTTAGCTATTGTTCTAGGTTCCTGATATCCTCTTGAGTTTTACAAACTTTGAGTTGTAACTAATTTATCAATTGTAACTATTGTTTGCAAGGTTTCTTCTAATATCTAAAAAGATGTTTACTCTATACTGGTCTAGTTAGAAGATTAAAGAGTTGATATTAAATTCTATAGTTTTACCATGATTCAAGTTTTCTATAGCTTTTTCTTTCTTTCAAAAGTTTTATAAATCAAATATAGAACTTGTAATAAAGAGTGTCTCTTTTATTTAAAGCCAATCTTGAAAAATACAATACTTTCTATTCTATTTTTTTAAAGTTTACTATGTTTGTTACTTGGTTGAAAGTATTTTACAAGTTTTTCAAAAAAATTATTAAAAAAGAAAATTTTTGAAAAAAATGCGAATCAGCAGAAAAAGTTTTTTTTTATGATCTAAAATTTTGTTTTTCTTATAATACTTTTTTTATTTTTATTTATTTTTATTTTTTTTATCCTCTGTCAGATTAATTATATGTACTTTATTAATTATTTGTAAGCTATACATATTAAATAAAATATTAAAGTTAAATTTCTAACTAACTTATTCATTTTGATTATATTATCTCTTTAAGTACAACTTTGGAAGTAATTTATCACTCCATTAGAAATTCAGGTGAAACTCCTTTCAACTTCTAAAATCATTGTCCACAGGTCACTACTGCAGTCCTAATACTTTTTTTATCTATTATTATTCTTTATTAATTATATATATAATCAGATTTAAAGTAATTATTTATAATATATAGATCAAATAAATTAAGTAACTCATGTTATATAATATATTATTTTTAAGAATTAATTTTTAATAAATAATTAAAAAAAAGATATGAAAAATTAAAAATATACAATTATTTATGAAATAAAGATTTAAAAAAGTTATCAAATATTGAAATAAATTAATAGATATAATTAAAAAAGCAAAGGTTTGTTTACTTAAAGAAAGTGCGATTGATTTAAAAAATCTTATAAAAAAATAAATGTATATAATTATAGTCAATACTTTGAAGAAAAAGTTTTAAACAAATATTTTATATCAAACATTTAGAATATTAATAATAATTACTGTATTTATAATTAAAACAATTGATAAACTATTTGAATAAATATTTAAAATCAATTTAAATATTCTAGTTAACTTGTAAATAATATTATAATAATTCATATTACTATAGTATAATCTAATTAAAATGTTTGTTAAATTTAATATATAGTTTAGAAAAAATTTTGAAATATAAAGAATAAGAAAAGGTGATAAAAAGGAATAAAGAATTGATAGTTAAATATAAAAAATAAAAAATTATTGAATATAAAAAATTATTAATATATTTAAAAAATAAAAATTAAACTAAAAAAATAATTAAAAGATCTGTGGATCAATAATATAGTAATAGCACTTCCAGGTTATCAAATACTATTTTTGAGTTCAATATTACTATAAGACAGTACTATCTAAACTTAAATAGTACAAAAAGATCCTATTCATCTCATGATGATAATCGCTATTACCTGTGATTAAGATTCTATTCAATCACAGAATAATTAAAGATTACAAGATGCTTCAATGGTTTTAGTGTTGAAGCCATCTTATTACAAAATAATTTTTAACAAACTCCTATAGATAGGTTGAAGACCTGTTTGCTATAAAAAATTTAGGATCTAATGGTACTTAGGCATATTAACATAAAAAGAAGGTCTTTATTAAAATTTGATAATCTGTTCAAGACTTTATGTAGTTATCCTATAGACAAGCTATAATAGGTTATGTAAAAAGGATGCATAAATAGGATAAGATGATATTCAAAACTTTATATGAATATTTTGTAGGCATGTTATAATAGATAGTATAAAAAGAATATTTGGTGAAACAAAATATAAAAAGAGTTTCAGGTTCAAGTTAGCCAGAAGACAAGTCTATATAATAAGGGCCTGAACGTAAGTAAGAGATAGTAAGTAAAGATGAATTTCTAAAGAGGAAGACAGAAACAAAAATCCAATATCCTTTACTAGGAAACATTAAAATTTTTAAATTATTAATTATAAAAAAACTATTCACGTTTGTTTTCTATTATCCAAATTATTGATTTATAACATTTTCTAACTTTAGTTTCTATTAAAATGAAGAGCTATGAATTTTGTTCCTTAAAAAGGAATATAAGTGATCTGCAAAATTTTATATGTTAAATACTTTAAAAATCCATCATTAGTAATAGGACTTCTTTCAGAAATATATTACATGGATCATAATTGAAATATGCTTGAAAAATAGGTTTACTGTAACTATTAGCCACTTTACATGAATGGGTGAAATTGAAGTTATAGTATTAAATAATATAGCCTTTATAGAATTTGTAATTTAAATTGTACTTCACTGATTTGTTATTAACAACTTCAATAAACTGAGCCTTTGTTTACTTTGGAAAAAAAATAATAATTAAATAAATAAAATTTCAAAACAATTAAGAAATTAGAAGAAAAAAATAAAAAAAACTTAAATAAATTAACAAAATAAAATCCATTGAGACAAGTTTCAAAAGAGTTAAATTAAAATTTTCAAAAAAAAAAAACCAGTGAAAAGAGAGAAGAAGAAAGTGAAAAAAGTGGAGAAAAATGAAAGTAACAAATAGTTTAGTCAAGTAATTTTATAATTTTATAATAAATTTTATGAAAATTGTTAAATTTTCTAAATACTTGTTAAAAAATTTTAATACTATTTAATATTATAATATACTGGATTTGTAATTTTTTGCCACAATATACAAATTTTTTGTTGCAATATGCAAATTTTTTATTACAATATAAAAAATTTTTATTACAATATATAAATTTTTTTTTGCAATATTGCTAAATTTGATATTAAATGTTTTCGACACAGTATGTCAAATTTAATTTGTTGATTTTTTATTAAAATATTACCAATATTTTATGCGTCAAGTGATAACAATCACTAAGAATTTGTCTTAATGAATTTAATTAAATTCAGCGATAATTTGACCGTTGAATAACTTAATTTTGACTAGAGAAAGTAATATTGAAGGTGTTTATTTAACATCTCGATAAAGATATACCATGATAACATAATTGTAGGGGTTTTTTTTTAAAAAAAAAGAGGAAATTTAATAAAATTGGTATAATAAAGATATAAAAATTCAAATTTTATAATTCTAAAAATCCAAAATTTTATTATTTTATACAATTTAAAAGTTCATTATTTAACTTTAACATGTACTTTACTATGAAATTGATCATCGGGCATTCAATAGTCTAGAATGTTTTTACGTACATGATGTTGACCTTATTGCATAGATGAGGCTTGTGAAAATAGTATGGCAAGGAAATTCAGCGATTCAAAAAAGGTGTAGTAAAAATCTTTCGTAATCTCATTTTGAAAAATCCAGTCCGCTTAAAGTGTAACGAGAACCATGAGTCCGGGAAGAGTAATTTTCTATGAATTGAAAGTTTCATACGCACAAGAACTAAAATACCGATTCCTTTGAAAAAATCGAAGCTTATGTGGTGGCACGTATTTAATTGATTATTGATAAATTAATTCATCATGGTGGCATAATGGGAAGTAAACAGACAACCTTTGCCGTTGTGCCACATCTAGAATGCATCAAATAATATGCAATGAAAAAGTTAACGATCAAACTTTTCATTATAGAACACTGAATAAAATAATCGATTACCGAATATAGATTGATGGCATAGAATATAAAACTCAAGAATAATGTCAGGTTGAAAAACAACATGGAAAAAAAAAAAAAAGAAAAACCAATACAAAGAAAACGGCCAGTCTTAAGCGTAAGGAATCTGAGAATTCTGTAAAAAGCCACGAATTGGTTCTATTGTAGTTATTCGCATTGACCCTCCTAAGTTAGATTAGTTCGCGATGCCATAATCTGGAATCTCTTCATCATCACATATCTCGAATTTTACACCTACAAAGCCTCCAAGAATCACTTGATCGTCGCGTGAAATGTCTTCCCACACAATTTCATCGTAGACCACGGTGGGTAGGCTCTCGATTGACCATTCCACCATATTCCTATCGTAGGCCATCATTAAGATGAATGGTTGCTGTCTGCCGCTATCTTTTTCTGCAAAGTGCACGGGAAGTGTACGATAGTTACTAATACAGGAATAATCATCGAAAGACGGCGCTTTCACCTTGAATCCGTAATATCTGCCTTGAATTACAGCTTTAGCTACAATATGCATTAACACAACAGAATCAATTCTTCCGCACGGCGTTACATATTCTTCTAGATAATCGTGAACCTTATTTAAGGCAACCAAATGGGGGTCTGATTGAATTAAAACATAGGGACATTTGATTTCCCAGTCATATTCAAATATGGTTGAGGTTGGTGGAGAATATAACCTTGCTAACTTTTCAACTACATCCTCGTTGAAATATATTACTGAATGCTGTATTTTTATGAATAAAGATATTTTTTCATAGTTGATGCCCTCATCCACATTATCATCCGAAAAACTGGGTCCCTTTAATGTTTTATAAATAGAGTCAATCTTATTGTTGTAATTAGTTACAACAAAATTCACAATGTTCCATTCTTTAATCGGATTCATGAAGCTCTGGCGGTGAACTTTCCCTCGGTGCAACTCCGTTTCTAATTTTCGTTCGGATCGAAGCTTAGCAAATAGCTTTTCAAAATTCATTATGTGAGTTTCACGATCTTCCCAAACTTGAACTTTTTCGATTGTTGGGAATTTTTTAAGAAATAATTGAACGGACTTTGACTGAAAACCTCTCACATCATAATCAGGATCTTGAGGGTAGAGAAGATATAAAGTTCGAGTCGAAGATATAGTGGAAGAATTTGATTTTATTCTCTTGACTCTTTTCTCCCTTTTTGGTTTGCGGTTCTCGATGTTGCAAGCGTGATCGCTTTGGTCTTTTTTCGTCGATCTTGATCCCATCTCCACTTTCTTCATATCACAAGTGATACCTTTTGCCTTGAGTATCTTAATTATGTCATTTAATGAACCCGCGAGATTATTAGGGAAAAACAACACAGTAAGAGAAGAATCATCCTCCGTAGATTGCCTCAACAGCTCGAAATTTCGAGCATTCCAAAGAACTTCTTGCCTCAAGAGCGATTTGGGTTTCGTGATCGGAGAATAAACAATATCATCAAACCATCCATTGTCTGAAAGACGATCAACAAGTCCTTGATCCCACAATAAATGATTGAAATGGGGATTGTATATTGTTTGTTCAAAATTAAAGATGTTGAGTTTTGTCGCATTCAAGAGCGATTCGCCGTGTTTTACATGATATGACAATTTGTGACTTGATGAAGATGAATATAGCTGTTCGTTAGAGGAATAATGAAGGTTTTCTGATGATGATTGGCTATAGCGAGTGAAGTTTTGTGAGTCTAAACTCAAAGATCGCTTGCAATTTTGCAAGCTCGTATGACCCCAAAGATGACCATTAGGGCTGTGTGAGTCACAAGAAGGCCTGTGGTATCCATTATCCGATGATATTTTAGTCCTTTTGTAGAGATCGAATTCGCTGCTGCTTTTCTGCACAACGCGGACTCCATTTTCGTTATCAATTATTAAATCTTCTGAATTCTTTCGTTTGTCTTTGCCGCGAGTTTCTTCATATGACATTATAGTGTCATCAGCTTTTTTTTTACATTGTTCGATGGAGTTTTCGGATTCATAAATCGACATCTTTGTGTTACATCTCCAATGTTCGGGAGCATATGAAGGCCGAACTAACCATGGTTGTGACTTGAAAAGATGATCCATATATTCATGAATTCCAGCATCAGTTGAAACCTCGGAACTCCAGCCACCAACCATCATCTTTCTAAATAATTTTAATAAAAATAACAAAATTGCACTTCAGTACACAATATTAACAAAGAAGTATTCTATGCTGAAACGCAAGAATCCTGTTGAATGGTTATGTTAATATAATGAGACTATTTACCTGAATTGATAACGTTAATTTTTTATGTTTAAGACGGCGACACGTAAAAAAGAAAGGAAACTTTGAACATACGTTGTCAAAATTCAAAGCTAATAGGAAGAAGGATGATGGGGAATAAAGAGAGATTTCAGTTGTTGGTCATTTGTCGATCAAGATTATCGGTTACTAAATATTCCCACGTTTTGCAAATCACTCGTTTTCCTTTTTGAAAGATACATACTTTTTTTTTTCTGCTGTCTAAAAACAATGATGAAAGGAAAAGCGCTTACTTAAAACTTGATCGGTTGACTAGTAAATCTTGCGTAAAATAGAGTAGTAGCAAATGGAATATTAAACAAATATTAAACACAGATTGATCTTGCTGATGCCAAATATGGAAAAAGGCGGTCATAGTCCCCGGATAATTAGTGTGGAAGAATGTTCAGATCTTTACAATGGTGCACATGCTAATCCACCACATGTGGATTTGTTTATATTACGTATTATTGATTATGTAAGTTTTTGCTCTCGATCAAGTCATTATTTTATTTGATAGCTTTTTTCTCTGATCCTTTGATAACACAAAAAAGATTTTTGCTAATTCAAAAATTATTTTAAAGAATTGTTTTTTCTTTTTTTTTTTGTTTATAATTTCTTTTATATATAAAAACTTGACTTTCAATAATATCTTTGCTATTTTAAATAGATTTTAACAAATCTTTTTCAATATAAAGCAAAAACTTTATCTATGAATCTTTAAAAGTTATAGGCATACTGTACTACACAACTCAAATAATATAATATTAAATTCATAAAGTTCAAATTTAATAAAAAAAGATTATTTTCTGATTCTTTGATCATATTTAAATTTAATATTTATCAAAAATAATATATTTCTTTCTTAACAAATTTATTTCAAACACTTTATAAAATACTATAAAGTATACTGTTATCTTTCTCTTGTCTTTATTTTATACTTTTCTCTATTTATTCTTAAGTATTTTTGATAGTAATAATAAAAGAGTAAATATTTTTATTACTTATTAGTAAGAAAGTTTCTTTAGAAAAGAAATATATATGTGAAAATTTCTTTTTGATCTTTTATATTGAAACAAAAAATTTTACAAGATTTTAATTATAGATTCTATTTTTAAAAAAATTTAAAAAGATTTAAATAATCTTTTGAAGTATATATAAATTTTTAAGTACTTTTTAAAGAATTTTATTTACTTTGACTTGTTTTTGATTTGTTTATTACATTAGAATATTAAAATTTTATTGATTAAAAATTTTGATTAAAGATAATATATATAAAAAAGACCAATAATTCAAAATAATATAAATATATTTTTTTAGATCTATAAAAATATAAAATTTCTAATAAAAAATTTTTAATTAATGCAACAAATATAATTTATTTTTTTTATAATAAAATATACTATTATATCTTTTTATTATATTAGATATCAAAAAAGAAGTATAAAATTTATTAATTATTATCTTCTTATTAATTCAATTCCTAGAATATAAAGATTTAATATATATTTTTCCACTTTATAATATTGACTTATTGCCTAATAAGATAAAATATAATATATTGAATTAACTTACAATATATAGTTTTATATATATGGATAATTATTTTTGAAATAAAACTAAAAATTTTTTGGACCTAAAATTGTAACTCCAAAATTATATTTTAAAAATATAATTTAAAATTATAAAATTTTATATTTATTAATTTTATTAATTATAAAATTTTA